TCCATAAGCCTCTGGAGTGCAGTTCTGCCATTGAAATCAATCTTCTACTCATGCCTCTGTTCGTCCAGAAAAAACAACAACTCAGAACAACAAAAAGATCAGGATGAGGGAGATGGCCGGGGGGGGCGGATGGGGACTGTATTTTCCCCTTTTTCTCCAGCTTCTCTCCATCCCCTTCCCCATCTGATCAGTTCCCCTTCCTAAACCCCTCCATGGTCTTTGGGTGTGTCGTTGCAGATGGTAGCATGCTCCTCCTGACGTTCTACTACCTGATGAACCTCAACATCATGACGGTGAAAGCCAGGGTGACGGCGGCTGCGGAGATGACCATGCCTATCAGTGCCGGGTGAGCTTGAGACGGTGGGATGCTGCTTAGACTCCAGGTGTCAGGAGCTTTGATGAAAGAGTGGGCATGGAATGAGGGGCAAGCCTGATTATTATGGCTGCCCCCCCCCCGGGAGTTTGGCGACCATTTTTGGAACTGGATGGAAGCTAGAGCATCAGGTTTATTACGGTTTCTACTTATAGAAAAATGGCTTCACAGGCTTTGTGTCCCCATTGTTGTAGAAACAGCTGCTGCCCAAGCCACAATGGCTCGGAGGGCAGATCTATGGTTGCATCGCCTCCGTGGTCAGAACTTCATATGAGACCTCGGAGGAGCGATTTCCCATTCAGTTATTTGGGATCCTGGAGCGATACATGGTGGTTCTCCGAGTGCCATTTCATGCACACAGCAAAGTGTTAGCTCATAACAAGGGTCTTCCTGAGAGACTCTAGCAAGCTGTGGATCACCAGGCAACCGTTGATCCTGGCCCTTGAGCCTGAGAGTCTTCTGACTTTGGAAATGCCGTGGAATGAACATGGAACCTTTCACTTACGTCGTGAGAAAACAGTGTCAGCATTGGTGAACAATGACTCCATAGTATGACATTGAGAAATACCGTTTGGCTCAAATCCCACAACATGGTTCTTGGTTTTTATTGGGATGGTTCAACCTTGTAGAAGCGAAAGCAGTGGTTCTTCCCTTTTTGTGTGGCCTCCATTTTCCCAGCAACTGTGTTTTGTCGTTAGAATGATGTCCCTCTTATCATCAGGTACTACCAAGTTTGTACTGCCACATACCTGTTACAACTCAGCAAGCCTTGAAAAGCACCACAGAGAGGTGGTGTCATATGCAGAATTAGTTTCCCGCATATATATCTTGGCAGAGCAATGCATTATATGGGAGTTCAGTGATTAAACGTCCACACAGTGCCCCTTTAAAAAAAATGCATTCCCCAGCCCAGCCCCTTGACAATTTGCTGGCTGAAATTTGTCTCCCTCACTCTCACAATCTCCTGTGAACTGTGAAAGGAGAACATTAGGGGCAACATTTCTGTGCCTTCTTTTTCTTTTATGGCTTGTCGTAGTTCCTCTTGGAAAGGAGAGCGAAGCAAAGAGTGTGATGTGGCTTCTCTCATTCAGATGGGGGTTCTCAGCCACCGTATTTTTGGAATGGGGAGATGGGAGGTTGTTCTCAAACACTCTAATCCAACAGCAAACTTAGTGTTGTTTTTTTTTCTTACAGCATAGTTCTAGTTGTAGGAGGCAGTGAAGATAGTTTTGAAATGGTGAAGCATCAGGAAGATTTTCTTGCGGTGGTGGAGAGGAGCCATTAGGACATGCTGTTGCTCCTTCACCTCTACTTACCTAGTGCATTGCTCAGGAGGGGATATATTTGTAAGGATTTCGAGGTTGGATTTGGGTAGCCTGGAGATGGAACTGTACCATTTTTTTCTTGCACAAAATGTACAGAGCACTGCTTTCTAGTGACTCAGTTGAAGTGTCCCATGTAGGTGCCACCTGATATACAGTGGTGCCTCGCACAGCGAGGTTAATCCATTCCGGGTTAATCCTCACTGTGTGAAAGCATAGTTGAACGGAACGTAAAAACCCATTGGAACGCATTAAACATGGTTTAATGCGTTCCAATTGGGCCGAATACTCACCGTTCAGCGATGCTTCAGGATGGCCGGCAGCCATTTTCGCGCCCGCCCCTCGCTTTACGAGGGCGCGAAAACGCTGTGCGCGGCCATTTTGGGGTTTCCGGTGGCCATTTTGTAGCCGCCGAACAGCTGATTGGCGGGTCGCAAAGCGAAGGTTGGTAAGCGAACCGCTTACCGACCTTCGCTCTGCGATTTTCGCCCTATGCAGGCACCGTTTTGCGATCGCAAAACCGGCCTCGTAGAGCGAATTCATCGCTCTACGAGGCGCCCGTTGTGCGAGGCACCACTGTACACATATTGACTGGGAGGTTGTGGGGTTTACAGCCCGACACATTCTGAGGTGTGGAAGGCCACCTTATAGTGACCCATTAGTGTGTCTCTTGCCCACCTACCAGCAGTTCTGCAAGATCTCTGGGATCCATTTGGCATCCTTTAGCTGGAAAAACTGGGGATTCATAGAGACACCAGTTTTTGATACAGCATAGCATCACTTCTACTGTGCTGTAAACTGCCACTTCCTCTTTCTATAGCGGCGGAAGCCTGGTCCAAACACCCCTTCATGTGGAGCAATAAACACTCTTTCCTTGTTAGGATCTGTGTGGAGAAGTAATTTGTCCTGTACAAAATAGGGCAGCAAAGTTCGCACGGCTGCCATTCCTTTATATGCTCTCACCCAGTCGATAGCCTTGTGAATTCGGTTGCTCATGAATCCCATTTTAAAGAGAAGTCATCTGATTTTGAGGATGCCGTTGCCAAAGACAACTGCATGGTTTTTTTTCCTTTTTTAAAAAAAGAAAAAGCTCTAGTCCATTGTGACCTACCTCATGCAGGGATTTGACGTGGCTTCGGATGTTGTAGCTGAGAGGTAAAGGAAATAAATACTCTGCAGAAGGCGACTTCCTGTTTTCTGAAACATTCACACCTCCTGTAAACGGAGCAGACCTTTGCATGGGAAAGATGGTACTGCAGGAGGAGCTGTGGAGGTTCAGCTCAGAATTGTGGGGAAAGCATGGATTTATTTGTGCTTTTGGCACTGCAGGCAGCCTTCCCCCCCCCCCCCGCCCGCCCACCTGCCAGGCAAAAAGCGAGGAGGACTTCAGAGGAAGAGATGAGCTCCGTGTCTCTGATCTCTTAATTCATCTTGGCGGGGAGACAGGGAGGAGCTGGCCAGGAGGGGAAAAGTTCAGACGGCCAGAGAGAGCTCGGGAGAAAAAACGGTTGGTCAGTCAGAGCCACCCAGGTGGCAGCTTGTGCCTGCACTCTGCTCTGTTGAACCCACGTGGATGAATTGGGTGCTGATGGCCTCTCCTCTTGCTGTCACATCCAGTTATTCTCTAGCAGACAGAGTGCTTCCTCAGCCTGCGTGCGGCGGCTGAGCGCTCCCCCTCTCCCTTGCCCTGCGTTTCTGCTGCTGAGCGAGTCACTTTGTCTCAAGGGCTGAGCTTGTCTGTCAGGCGCTGAGAGAAGTCACTTGTGTGTGATTAGCGTTGCAGGGCTGGCGGGAGCGGAAAAAAGCTTGGAAACCAGGCTGCTGGAATAGGTTGATAAGAGGTCTCTTTCTCTCTCTGGTCTTTGTCTGTCTCTGTCTTTATCTCTTTATCTCTCTTTCTTTCTGATCCTCTCTACATTCCATAGCTTCTCTAGACAGTATGGTATAGTGGTTAAGGGTGTTGGATTAGGATGTTGGGGGGGTCAAATCCCCACTCAGTCCTGAAGCTCACCAGGTGCCCTTGGGCTGGCTCTCCATTCTCAAGCTGGCCTCCCTGAGTGGGTCATTGTCATGGAGAACAGGCCGGCCCGCCCGCCTGATTGTGCACGCTGGGGAAAAGGTGGAATGAAATGTAGTCCTAAGAATTTTCCCCATGCTCACAAGCCTCTTCTGGCATGATTCTTGCTGGAGCAAAGGGGTGTGGGGCATTTGGGACTCTGGATAACGCTGGACGGTGTCTCCTGTCAGCTGGGAGAGACGGCCGGAGTTGCAGTCTGGCTGTCTCTGATACACTGCACATTCCACACACGCACCGGTTCCTGAACTTTGCAGTTTTGTAATGAAAATCTATAGGGATTCCGTTAACACCCCTCCCCCTCCCAGAGCAATTAGTTTACAATCTAAAGTTAATGACTGGGAAGGGAAGAAATAAGGAGTTCTCTTTATCTTAGAGCCTTGACTGTATGGCCTTTGTATTCCGTCTCCTATGTCTGATGGACGTGGACATGTTCTGTGAAAGCTTGCCTTAAAAGTATAGTAGTTAATCTTCAAGGTGCCGCAGTGTCTTTTTTTTTGCTTTTGTTTTGTTGTGTTCTTATTGAGGTCTCTAGATTGGTTACAGTTGCCAAGCAAGAGGAAAGACTAGGGACAGACGGCCATTCCGTTCATGGTTTTGGAAGGTGTGGGAGCCCTGAGCTCCATCTTACGGCAGAACTGCTGCTCCTGGAGGCTTCCAAGAGTACAAAGTAATTGTTTTAATCAGCTCTCCCTGATTTCACACCACCACCTCATGTTTGAGTCTCAGGGTCCTGAAGGATTTCATAAAGTTGTAAGCTGGACTTTGTCCACCTCTGGGAAAAGACTGGAAATGAGACAGGAGTGACACACCTGATCTTTCAAGATTTCAAACACTAAGCAGGGCTATGCCCTGTTAGTACCAGGGTGGGAATTTCCAAAGGGGAGGCCAGGTGAGCTAGGAAGAAATGCCTAGAAACCCCGATGAATTGACAGCACTGGATCCTTCTTTTCTTCCTTGTTTATTAAATTGTGCAATGCACTATTCTGGGCAGTGTGCAACATAATCAAAGCACATCAATCAGTAAATTTAAAATAAAACACACAGAGAGTAACTCAGAACTCCAAGAGGTGTAATTCACAAGTTAAATGCAAAATGTGAGGTATATTTAAAAATAAAAAAGATTTTCTGTCTCAGAACAAGGCAGCTGCTTCTGTTTTCATATTCACCTAGGGATTGCCACAAGCAGAGAGACAGAAAGATGATCAGGAGGTCTGTTTAACTGGGCTTTTAAGAACCCAAGGTGTGGAGAAGTTGTGGAATGAAGGTCATGGCTAGGAATATACTGGCGTCAAGGGGAAGGAAAGAGAGCCGGACAAAGCTGCGGGGAAAATATAAGATAAGGACATGAATGAAGTTTGTGCCGGAAAACTAATAAATTGATTTTTGGGGAGAGATGATTGATTACATGGGATGATTTCTGCCATAGGATATGGCGTACTAGAGAATGGGCAGACTTGCAACAGTCTAAGCAGGAGGGGGACGGAAGCGTAGCCCAGAGGGTTAGCCAAAGTAGCAGTGAAGGTTTGCGTATCTCTGCAGGGCAGCACAGAGAAGAAGCAGTGTCATTTGGTACAAGAGAGGTGGTGGGCCTGCCCGACAGGAGGATGGGGATGATTCTGAGTGATGGACAGTGCTCAAGTTCAGGAATGCCTGGTTTGATGGAGTTCACCCAGACTGAACAAAATTGAGGCTCGCTCCACAGGCTTGCAGAATTTCAGACACATCCCCGCCCCAGTTAGAACAAAAACTCTTCAATATTAGAATCTTTTGTTCGCCCTTAAAATCCGAACGGTTCGATTTCTGTGGGCAGAAGCTCACCTCTATTTGCTCATTTTGATTTTTATTGCAGAACAGGCTACTGACAGTTTAAGTAACGATGCAGGGGGAGATGAACATTTGTCAGTCAGAAAGAATCTATTCTGAGTTTCAGAGGAATTCACTCCCCTTATTTTTCTTCCCAGAGACTTGTTGTCCCCTGAATCACTCCTGAGCTGCTTATACCCTGGAGATCACGGGAAGAGAACTCCAAATCCTGCCAACCAGTACCAATTTGATAAAATTGGGTAAGTCAGTAGGGGAAGAGGGAATGATCCTGGTCTCTGCATGGTGGGTACAGCACAAGGGTTAGAACCGGGCCAGGGTGATTTCAGGAGGGCTGAAGGTCTTTAAAGCAGTGGAGCGATTATATTCTGTAAAGGTTGCTACTGTGGCTTTTTCAGTTAACAAACTGAACATTGGGTTTAACTTCAAGAAATGTTTTTAAAATGGAAAAATTCCCTTTGTACTCTCACTAAATGGTCAGAAAACAGAGAAAGATACAGACACGGTGGTTGATATATCTTTGTCTTGTCTATATCTATATCACCATCTCTTTATCTGTCTCAGCCTGTATGTTTAGACTATTAGAGAGTACAAAGGGTTTTTTATGTAGATATAGAAGGTTTAGAGTGAAATGTTCTCCACTAAATTATTTTCCCCACCTCCAGGGAACGATAGCGAGGGCCCCCAGAAATGGCCTTGGAACAGCCTAACTACTCCTGTGGGTCACATGTGGCCTGACCCCTTGCGTGGTCAACCTGAACTGGAACTTCTGAGAGCTATATTAAGTCTTCTGGTCTGACCCCCTTCCCCCCAGCAGAGCTGTTTGTTTTGTTAGTTAATACAGTACAACAAACAGAATGTCAGTATATTACAGCACAGATAAATAAATAATAATCATCAAAGATTTCTTTTTAAACAGTTACATTTAAAACTAAATTTCAAAGTACACACACACACACACAAAGAGGAAGTTTTTATGAGAATGAAGTGGGAAGTAGAAGAGTGATGTGTGCTACCTTGTCTTCACTGGAGTGTGTTAACTCATAGAGTACTGCTGTGTCCCCTCTTTCCAGCATCCTTAACCTGTGTGACTATGTGTCAGAGTTGGGCCACCCTTATGTGTGGGTGCAGAAGTTGGGAGGCCTGCATTTCCCCAAGGATCAGCCCCAGGTAAGTCCAGAACTGCCTCCTTGAAGAGTCACGAACAGGGCATCCCAAGACTCCGGGAACTGTTGCACCAGGATCAGATATTGCCCATAGGTGCGTGAACAAAGGTGCACAGAGAATCAGCCCCGAAGGTGCGAAAGGATGTAGATGCGGTCTGTGGGGTGTGGAATTCTGTGGGTATTGTGGCATCTGCAACAGTTGAGGTGGCTACAGACGATGGGAGCAGAGTCCTAGAATGGTGAAAGGCAAGGAAGCCGCGGCTCAGTTCTCGGTTTGGCCTGCCTAAGGCTGGGTTCTCCAACAGAGGTGGGAATATGTGGGTCAGCCCAACTTTTAACTCCCATCAACTCCAGTTGGTGTGTTCAGGGATAATGAGAATTGTGATTCCACAGTGTCTGAAGGGCTCCTCGTGGTCCACATGATGGTTTTCATTGGCTTCTTTCTCTCTTCAGGAGATAAGAAATTCCTATAAATAGGAATAACTAGATACCGTATTTTTCCATGTATAAGACACCACCAATACCCCTTCCCACTTTTCTAACCCAAAATTTCTTTTTTCGCAAGAAAGCATAAATCAAAGCGCTTTGATGATTCCTGCTTTTCCCTTCCACTTTTTGCTCACAAGAAGGTGGAGGGGAAAGCAGGAATCAAAGCGCTTTGATCCCTCCCCCCTCCTTACTTCCATATATAAGATGACCCTCAAGTTTTAATCTAAATATTTTAGAGAAAAGTATTGTCTTATACACAGAAAAATATGGTATATCTTTCTGTGAGCTTCTTTCTGTGTAAGACATAGTCTGAGTGTACCTGAAACACCTACTATCCTTTTTCTGCTATCATCCAAAGGAGAGCTTTTTATGGCCATTTGTGTTGTAGGTGAGAGGGACAGGAATGAGCACTTGGTAACTGTTTGGTCCCTGCTAGTTGAGTGAAGCTGGGCTGATCTCCCTCCCTTGCTATTTGCTTTTTCAATTACATTTTTTAATCTTAGTATTTCCTCCAGTGATTTCAGAGGAAACCCTGCATGCTTCTCTTTCTGCCTCATCCCAGGAGGTAGAATAGGTGGAGAGAGGAGGGATGGCTCGAAGCAGAGCAGCGTTTGGATCCGCATCTACCCAGCCTAACACTGATCGCAATACCATGCCACTGTGACCCTGTGCGCCCACCCCACTTCTCTATAGGCATTCTAATGGGGGGGGGTAATCCATGGGTCCTTGTAAAATCTCTTTGTGAACAGCTAAGATCCCTGTGTCTGTAAACATCTCTTACCACCACACAGGTGCTGAATGTAGAAGGTGGATTTTGGGAAGTTCTCGTCTTGAGCTAAGATTTTTTTCTCAGTTTGCTCTTCATAGCACTTCAGCAAGCGGAATCGAAGCCAGCCGTGCTATTTCAAATTGCCAAACCTCAGAGGCAAAGATTGGAGTGATGTCCTTCTCTTCTTTGCAGAGTCCTGTGATTGCCGATAATTCGCTGAGTGCCAGCCACATGGAGAGGACCATGAAATTGCTCAAGAGGAGGCTAGAGTCCCGTCTTGCTCTGCACAAGCAGTTTGCTTCCCTCGGTATGTTGTAGGCTTCCTCCTGCCTTCCTGTTTCCAGGAGCAATGAAATACCAACCCTCCACCCATCAGCAGCACTAGCCTTCAGTTGGCTTGTGGCCCAGCCTGCAGCAGGCGGCCGACTTACATCTGGTTCTCCCTGGTAGCTGTGATAAATGTGAATCTGCACAGTAACACTTTAGATTGAAGAGATGGGAAAGTTCATGCTTGAATGCAGTACTCTTCCCTACAAAAGTAATTGAATATACTGCCTTAGGGGGAAAACTCCTTGCTTCTTTCTAAGAAAATGCACCCTGAATCTATTTCACTGGTACTACCCATTTTCCCTGTGTAGGGAACGTTTTTAAAAGTAGAGACGTCCCATCAGGGATACTCCAGTATGGGGTTGTACACCCTAGATGCAAATCTGACATCTCCCAAGATGAAATATGTGCTGTATTTAAAACCTGTTTAATTTACATGTTGTTGCTTGAAGAGAAGGTAGCTGTGCAGATCCTGCAGGATTGCCGTGTGAAAGATGGGGGAAGGGTAAACTTTTCCTACAAATCCTACTTGAAACTGCTGTAATAGCACCATCAAGAAACTTAGAAGGCCACATTGAGAATTTAAATGGTCCGGGGGCAAAGATCAATCCAATTCAAATCTCCCTCCCCTCTTTTTTTTTTCCTAAAAAGGAAAGAAAGAAAAGAACTTAATAGAGTGAGTGTGTTTACTCAGAACTAAGCCACATTAAGTGCAGTGGGGCTTACTCCTAGGTCTGAGTGGTGGCATGGCAGTTCAGTGTGGGTGCCAACAGCACCCAAAACTAATCATCATCAATTCTGAATTATGGTGACCCTTTTCAGGGTTTTCCAGACAGAGAATTCTCAGAAAAGTGGTTTCCCCTTCCCTTCTTCCGGGGGTGCCCTGGGACTATTGTGCAGCTTGCCCAAGGCCACCCAGGCTGACTCTTCTCCCCAAAGGCCCCATGGGGGGAATCAAACCCCCAACCTTTGGCTCCCCAGCCAGAGACCTAAACCACTGAGCTTTCCGGCCAGCTACATCAACCCAACAGGAAGCTTTAAATGCCGAATGAAGTTTGACCGTAAGAACTGGGCCGGAGTATTTTCCATATAAGTTCCCTCACTCTATCGTGTTTTCCTTCTGTCTCCCTTCTCATGCAGATACACATACACATAGCTCCTTTTCTGCGTCTACCTCTTTTTTCCTTTCTTGCCTTGCCATCCTAAATGCTTCCATCTCTGGTTAGGTGGCTGGGAACAAACAGCGGCTTCTCATCCACACAGTCTGCCCCTGGCAACCTGTCTACAACCCTGCCCTGCCTTACAGGCATGATTCACCGTCTCGAGAGGGCAGAGTTGAGAATAGTGAATTTCATTGCTTTCCTTCCTTGGCGAGTCAGTCTGCCGCTGCTTTGGAAAACCATGCTCCCCAGAGCCGTCCAGGCCTGAGATGCCCAGCTTTAAGGCAGGAGTGAGCAAAATCGAAAGGTCCCTCTCCCTTTCTTGCCAGTCTTTTTTTTACTGTTTTCTGCAGAGGGTCCCAAGGAGAAAGAAATTGGTCAGAGTTGCCTTTCCCAACTATAATAGATCTTCCACTCTAGACGTTATGGGCAGGGTCCACATTAAGGCTGCTCGGATTTGTGAGACCCAGATGATTTGCTTTGTGTGTGGAGGGTGATGTCAATCACATGGCAGAGGAGCCCAAAGAGTTAGGGAGGGCTGGATGACGATGGCAAGGGAGATGTTAGGGATGCCTGGGCAGTTCACCCAGCTGAGAGGATGGGAGATCTCGGCCAGCTGTTACTGGCAGGGCTGCTGCTATAGGGGTCTTCTTGTGTATTTCTTCTGATCTTGCAGGCTCCTAGGTCACACACACACATACAAAGAGAGAGGCCTGCCTTTTCAGTGTCGCCCCAGTCACACGGATGGGTCCCTTGAGAGAGACCCATCTGCCACCCCCATTCTGAAACTGATATTTGAGCAGTCTGTGCTCTTGAGCTATTTCTCTCTCTCTCTTTGGCTGCTTGTCAGAAGAGATAAATTTCCACTGAAAATGTTACTGAAAAAGTTGCCAGGCACAAATGAGAGGGGACAGGCTTTGAACTTGGGGTATGCGTGTGTGCGCACACACCAATGTGCATAAGTAGGTATGTATACATCTGTGTATACAGCTTACCTCTGGAGCACTTTGGGAGAGCTGCATTCCACAGACAGATGTTTCACATCTGGGTGTGTGTTTAATAGGAGGAGGAGAGGGAAATTAAGGAGTTAGTGTACATGCAAGGATCATTATATACTGAATAATACTTTGAAAAGAAAGAATTCCGGGCATCCTGAAGCAGTATAGTCCAGGATTTGATCATCTCATTATGACTAAATACGTTGGCTGACACCCCCCCCCCCAAGAGCTTATTTCAGTTGAGGATTCCAATCAGACCTTTATTTCAGTCTAACGCTGAAGTGCCAATCTGTGGCACTTTGCTGGCATTTTAATGAGGGAAAAGATGTTTTGGGACACGTGGAGTGTTTCTCTTTTGGGCAATCGTGGCGGAACAGAACTTACCGACATTTCTGAAGAAGGGGGAGGCCTCTTCTGTTAACGTCATGTGACTTTTCTTGTTTCTGGCTCCAGAGCACGGAATTTTGCCCGTCTCCAGTGAGTGTCAGCACCTCTTTCCAGCTAAGATTGTGTCGCGCTTGGTGAAGTGGGCGGCCATCACGTATGAGGATTACCTGGTAGGTGAAGAGGTCTTTGGAAGAAACCTGAAGTCAGTGATAGCGATTTCAATAAAACTTTGAATTGTAAGATTTTGCAAGCAGAAAACCAACCTGAAAGACCTCTTAATGCTTCAAATTGTTTCCGAACTAAATCCCAGGGTGTTTTTTCCCCCTCACGGTACCTGAAACATTTGAATAGAAATATCTCATCACTGTCTTTAGAGGTAGCACCTTTATTGTCATTTCAGTTCTTTATTTCAACAGAAAAATATTTTGATTGGAGTACTTGTAAGTATTCTGAGTTGATGCTTTGTGAGCAGGTACTCCTGTTTTCTTGCTTTCAGTATTCCAAGAGCTGTGCATTTGTATTTTTTATGCATGCATGCTTTTGAAAGGTAGCCATCTGGGGGAAAAAAGTTAATTGAGACTTTGCCCGATATGATTGGTTTAAAGCCACCCTTATTGTTAGGAAGCAGCATGTAATTTTTTTAAAAATAGAGAATGTTCTGGGTAGGAAACCAGTAGCCTCTTCACCCCATCCTGCTCTGCGACTTGAAACTGAAGCATTTGATCCATGAGACCACAAGAGATTTGGAGGATTTGCTGATGCTCTTTACCTGTCTCACCTCCACCTTCTTACTTTTCCCACTATAGGAGCTGTCGTATACTAAAGATGTTGGAGAGGCAGGTTTAGCAGAGGACACTCACCTGTATTATATGGCACTGATAGAAAGAGGGACAGGTACGTGTGTTTCCCTTTTCCTGTGCTTTTTCTACCAGGTTTGAGAAGAAAAAACATGTGGGTGTTCAGTGGGAGCGGGAGCCGGAATGCTTCTCCAGCATGCTGTAGACATTGGGATGGGGGCCTCCCATCCATGCTGCAGTACAAGGCAGAAGAGAGGCAGGCTGCCCTTCAGGCTGCAGGTGAAGCAAGTCCTCTTTGGGAGACTCTCCCATCTTAAAACCTCTGTGCAAGCAATGGTTCAGGAATCTAGCTTGTCAGAGGGGGAGGAATGCAGCCCAACCCTTCTCTCAGCTTTCTCTTTGCATTGTGTCTCCTTTGCCCACCCCGTCAGATCTTATTCTGCTGTATGTGCACTCTGAGAAACAGCAGAAGGGCAGAGAAAGAGAATGAAGCGAACAGCCCAGCAAGGAGGGAAACACACAGGGGGCATAGAAAGTGCAGAACTGCTGCTGAGCCGACCTGTGGGTTTTGTGCTTCTCCTTCCATGCCTGCCCACCCCGGCTCTCCTGGTCATCATCTGTGTTGCAGGTTGTTTGCTTAGCTTTGAATAAGTGAGCTATCTCTTAACACTGGATGATGCCCATGCAGGTGTAGCATCTAGCATCAATTAGGCAATGCTGCCCTTCTTCATTGTAGCCTACCAGACGCCTGCCCCGTAGAGGTGGAAGCTCCCCCTGGAATGTGTGTTCAGTGATGGAGAGGTCAAAAATGCCCATCCTCATGTCCCTCCTTGGATTTAGCATTTGGATCCTGATTTTTTTGTCGAAATAATATCCACAGTGGCTGACAGTTGAATAAGCTGCACAGGGTCTTCAGAGAGAAGACTGGCCAATCAATCGGTCAGTCCTATTATACATTTGTTCGTACAGCAAATGTCTTCCAGAGTGCCTCACTCAATACGTGCCTGCCCCTATTCGAGCTCAACAGGGGAGGTCTTTCTCTAGGCTCCTGGGGTACATTGTATGTCAACACGGGAGAGAGTCTTTGTGGTTCGGGGCATTCCAGCTAATGACTGTATTCTTCCTCACGAGATGCAGTGTTGCAATTTTTTCACCAAGTCATTTTAGCCGGATGGATTTGCTTTGGTTCTGAGTTGGGCTTTTAGTTTTTTGTCTTTTACGACAACGGTGTGATAGTATTGTTTTATTGCCTTCTGTATTATTTTAATCATATCTGTGTGCCATCCTCAAATCCGCAGGGTTGAAGGGTAAGGTTGAAGTGTTTCAATAAATTAAAACAGCAAAGCTGATAAAATACATTCATTTGCTGAGACATTATGAAAGGGAGCCTGCAAATTATTACCAGATGCGAATTGACTGGTTGTTATACTTTATTTAAGCCCTGGCTATCCATGGCAAAGGGCTAGTGACTGTCAGAGAAGGAGGGACCCTGGACGAGTTAATTCCCCATGCATTCACCCAGTGCCGTTGATAGCATTCACTTCCTTTTATTCCATAGCCAAACTCCAGGCGGCAGTGGTGCTGAACCCGGGCTACTCGGCTATGCCTCCCATCTTCAGCCTGTGCCTGAACTGGAAAGGGGAGAAAACAAACAGCAATGATGATAATATCCGGGTAAGGCGCCAGGGCCCAAGCCTGGAGTGATGCAGGGCAGCTGTTTCTAACCATAGTCTGTGTCCTCTCTCTCTCTCTTTCTCCCTCTCTCTCCCCACCCCCAATCAAATGTAAGCGGTTTCCTTTTGAAGACTGTTGTCCCTATAAAATGGTGACGTGGCCTCTTGATGTGGTGCCCGCGCTTCCCGTCCTCAGTGTGACCCGCAATCCACTGGAAAGTCCTAGTGGCCCTTGTGGGAGGATAGTGGCTGCTGCCTAGTTCTTGAGAGTTCCACTGAGGCTTTTGCAGAAGACCTTCCTGGCATCAAATGTAAGCTGTTTCCTTTTGAAGACTGTTGTCCCTATAAAATGGTGACGTGGCCTCTTGATGTGGTGCCCGCGCTTCCCGTCCTCAGTGTGACCCGCAATCCACTGGAAAGTCCTAGTGGCCCTTGTGGGAGGATAGTGGCTGCTGCCTAGTTCTTGAGAGTTCCACTGAGGCTTTTGCAGAAGACCTTCCTGGCAGGAGGTGTCCTGTGGCTTTGATTTGATTCTTTCCCACTCTGCTGTCTTTCATGGCAACAAAATCAGGGCAGCGTCCCCTGTACCTGAACCCAGTTGTGTCCCTACAGGGTAGAGAGTTGGGCAGCTGGATTGTTCTGTCCTCCACTCTTTGAGATGGACATGCCTGCATGCCTACGGACATCTCGGAAATCTTTGTCTGAAAGAAAGGTATCTCAGAATAGGAGGCTAGGAAGGGAAGCCCAGAGAGCAACTGGTAGGAAATCTCGTGGCATCTCACTTTCCTTCTCTTCCTCTTTCCTCCATCGTAGGCCATGGAGAGCGAGGTCAATGTCTACTACAAGGAGCTCTGTGGCCCCCAGCCGGGCTACCAGCTCCTAACCAACCAGCTGCAGCGCTTGTGTGTCGTTCTGGACGTCTACCTGGAAACAGAGTCCCATGACAACAGCGTGGAGGGACCCAAGGAATTTCCACAGGAGAAGATGTGTCTGCGCTTGGTCAGGTAGGAATCGGCAGGACTGCCTCTGTCTTATGCTGAGGTCCATTTTGAAAGCACAGCTGCCGGAGAGGGGGTGAGAGAAAAGGTTTTTCAGGGCTTCCAGAAGAGATACAAGCCGATCTGCAGATGAAAGAAATGTCTCCATGACAAGCAAACTCATGAGGTTTTGCACGCTGCCCTCCAGTTGATTTTGAAATCCTGAGAATGTTTTTTTACAACAGTGCAATCTTCAGAAATGCAGTCAGCCGCTGAGTGGGAGTGCTGGGGTAGTTCCCTGGTTTGCAAACTACAGCAAAGTCTCCTCCAAGCATAAAGATTCTAGATTGAATTTCTAAGTCACAGGGTGCATTCTGGCTTCAGGTGCTTCTGCAGTGGTTTACGAAGAGAGAAGTGAAGTCATGGAGAAAATAGTTTTGTGATGGGCAGGTGTAAAACCTTTAACAACTGCCATTCTGTGCATTGGATTTGCACAGAAAAATATTTATATTTGCTTATACTTCTGGGTTAGCCATGCAGGCTGAGCTAAATCTGGATGTCCAGTTTCTGAACTTTCCACATCAACCACCGGCCTCCATTGTTTTTTGTTGCTCACATGTATACGGGATGCTTTCTCTCATTGCAAAAGTAAAGGATTGTTGCTTAACAGGTGGAGTCTATGGTGTTTTGTGTGCAGACCAGTTACAGGGGGTCCCCAGCATTACTTAGGAAAAGATCCTTGTCTGACAACTCTAGAAAGTTGCTTCTGGTAAGCTTATCTATTGCTGAGATGAGCTAAAACTCTGAGTCTCTTGAAGTCAGATCCCTTTGTTTTTAAAGCAAGTACATGCCTGCTTTCATCAAGACAATTGTGAGAAGCTGCAGTTTTTTTAACTGGCTGTGACCTACATAGGTAACTGTTTTCTCTGCTTCCCATTCCAGGTTTTTAGCATATGTTGTTCCTCCACTTATAATCCCTTCTCCCCTGTTGTCAAGCTCTTAACCTTATATAGGACATCCGATTCTTTTGCCTGCTAGTAAAAAACAAAACAGCACCTCATCTTCCCCTTCCTTCTTTGGGAAGAATTGGAGGCTGTGTGTCCTTCGGCATTTTTTCATTTTTTGAACCCATTCTTTGGGGCTTGTCTCTCTCTTCACTTCCTTCCAGTGTGGAACCTTCTAAACCCAACTAGTGGACATTGTCATCTGTCGTGTGATGGGTGCTCCAGCTGGCATCTCTTGTCCTCTTCAAGAGAAGGCAGTGAGGGGGCAAAGGGTACACCGTTCAGCAAAAACGGGCCTCCGGCATGCGGTGCCTTTAACCAAAATGAGGGCTACGTGTGTAGAAGACTGGAGCCTGTGAGATCTGTGAACGGGATGTGAGCAGTGAAGGATGGGATGTGTTTGGAAGGAAAGCAGCTTCTCATGGGCAGTTTCCAGATCCTATATTCAAGATTTTAAAGGGGACACTTTTTAGGGGTTTAAGAGAACCCACTTTTGAGGGTTATAGCAGGGTGTTTTTTTTGCTGAAATCCCTTGCTTGCAAAAAGCATAGAGATGCAGCATGTTAGCCTTAATTGCTTTTTGCTTTCCCTGTTCATAAGTGAAATGTTAGTAGGCTGATTTCTTTAAGTTGACCATCGCTTGTAATTTTGATGCCTCCCCCTCCATCATCCTGACCCACTCCGCTTTTTGGCCAGAATCCCCTTGGTGCTCATCTAAGCTCTGCACAGCTTTTGTTATTGTTGTTTAGTCGTTTAGTCGTGTCCGACTCTTCGTGACCCCATGGACCAGAGCAAGCTTACACCAGCTAATTGTGACTGACAAGGTGGTAGGTCACGTTTCAATTATGTACCTGCTGGAACCTTCTCAGTGAGACCATGACTGTTTTTATGCAGCTCATACATGACTGTCAAGAAAATTTCAGCCATTCAATAATGTTTTGGGTTGTACCTTTTGGATTTTTTTTATGTATTCAAGCTGGTCAAGACCTGTGGGGTCTTCTGTAATGTAAATTCTTTACTCTTCCTCTGTAGCACTGTGCTTTTAGAAAGGAACTAGTAAGCCTTTTTAGAAGGCTCTTAATTAGAAATCCTAGCACAGCATTCACATATTTTTGAAACAGCACGAAGGCTTTCCTGGGATGGCCTTTAAAACACCTTTCTTCTATCTTAGGGGACCCGGTCGGATGAAGCCATTCAAGTACAACCATCCTCAGGGCTTCTTCAGCCACCGTTGAGCCCTGCAGCTGTAATCCTCCAGACACCTCTTTCCAAGGAGAGAGAAGAACGATTTGCCGGCTGATGGATTTCCAGCCTCTTCCTGGCCAGACGAGGCCAGACCTTTCTGCTTCCCTGATCCTTCCATTCCATTAGCTGTCATGTTATAGTGTTGTAATAATTAAAATTTAAGACAGGACTGCACTTTGTAAATTGTGTGTAAAATACCATGTGTATCGTTTTCCCCTTCTGCAGTATATGCTGCCCAAACTAGCCCAGAGAGGAAAAGATGCAGATGCCCTGCAGTCCAAGCAGAATAAGAGCTGGAATCTGGCCTCTTCATTTTCCACCATGACTGACCAGGTGCTTCTGGGGCACCTGCCAGAACACAGCCTTTTGCTACTGTTGAATCCTGACAAAGTGGTCCAGGAAGCACAATGAAGCCATTCCTAGGGAGCCCAAGGCTGAAGCAGGGGAGAAAGGCCTGGTTGGCAGATTTTGCTGGACTTCCAACTCCTGTCAGTTTCACCGAGCGTAGCCCATGAGTGGGGGATTAGAGGAAATTGTAGCCAGTGCCATTGAGTGTTTGTGACTCCACGGTTGGTCGAGCCCATACTTTACAGCTGGAAGTCCATGGTTTAGTTCTTGTCTCCCTGTCAGATACCCTAGAATGCTGCTACCAACATGTGCCAGCAATACTGGATTGGTTGGAATGGTGGTATAAGACGGCTTGCCCATGTTTTTGTCCAGCCCTGCCAGGCTTCCCTGAATTGATCTTGCCCTCTTTTAAAGATCTACACAGATCTTTTTATCTGCAAATTCCCTGGTTTAACTTTGTGCTGTGTTAAGAATATTCTTTTGTACGTTGTAAATCCAGAGCTCGGAGAAGTTTTTACATTTGGCGAGGGGATTGTGGGAGTTATAGTCCCAAAGAAGTGACATTGGAGTTCTACCGACATCTCCCATTTCTTTGGAATAAGAAAACAAGCTTTTGGTGTAAAGTTGTCTGTCTTCATTGCATGAGGTATGAGGTGCTGTCTGGAAAGAAGCTCTTGCTATTTCTAGCAGAACTTCCTATCCTCTTTGAACTTCAGAAGAAACAGCTACACCACTGAGCAGATCTTCGGATAATTAAAGATGGGAGATGTAAATCAGCCCTCCTAACAGAGTCTGATTTCTTCTCTGTTGTCCACCTTGAACGGCATTTTACAGTCTTGGGTCTAAAACTGTCAAGAGAGGGAAAGCTGCTAATCACACGGAACCAACTGCCTTTGTTCTCACCTTCCAAATTGACTTCGCTTCCTTTTTTTATTTTTTTGTTAATTCACTTGGAGCCCTTCCAGTGCATGGGAATGTGAGGAGTGAAGCCGTATTGCAGCTTCCATTTAGAAGCTATTTTTAGCCCCCTGTCTCTGATATTTCAGCAACCCCAGAGTGGAGCCTTGGAGGATGGGATGCTGGCAAAGCACAGACAAGGAAACAGGGAGAAGTGAGGTGGCTGAGGAGAGGGATCCAGGATGCTTTGGGAGATCAAAGAAATCTGCAGAAGCTAGACATCTGCAAGTGGTGAAAAAATATATAGCGAGGGTGCTCTGTGGTTATCGCTACTTTCACGGACTGTTTGAACAAGTAGTGGCAGCTGAACAGGGCACAACCTGACTCCAGTTGAGCTATGGGGCAAAAAAGACATTTATAGCAGTAGTTAGACTCTGTGGAGTCCCATCTCTTGCATGCTCACAATGCTTCTGAATAACAACACTGCCAGGAAGGCTACTTTTTACTTCTGGTAGAAAACAGCTCTGAAGTTCTTCCTGAAACCAGCTGGGCTGTAGTGGTAAGTTGTGAAGATGTTCTTCATGACAGTCTGCATAGCCACATACCCATAAGGAGAGTGCAAAAATGCAGGCAGCTAGGTGCTGCTATGCTAACAAATAAGGACCCGGTGTTTTGTAAGGTTAATGGCTCTTAATTGCCCAGGCAGGATCCTTCTGAACATGCCTGGAGAAGTTAGCAGTAAACCTTTCCCTACCCCTCATAGAGTTAGAGTTCACGGCATCAAAGCTCTTGGACTTTCTGACTAGTAGGGACTAGGAGACCCATCTGCCACTTCCTGTCAGACTTGCTTGTTCCCTCCACTTCTTTTAACAGGTCCCTTTTGCCAAAGAGAGAGACCAGGAGGCTTGGTAAGAACATGGGTCTACAATGCAGGAAAAGTGTAAGGCCAGTAGAGTAAGCCGCCTAGAGTGGTCGAAATGACTAGATAGGCGGGGTATGTATAAATAAATAAATAAATAAATAAAGTGGGGAAAAGGAGCACCTCCTAACATGAGATGGATTGATTTAGTAAAGGAAACCACAGGGTTGTTTTTTAAGACCCGAGCAGTACTATTAATGATTTCTTATTTTAAATATTTTTACCCCACCTTTCTCCTAAAAAAAAAAAAAACAGACCCAAGGTGGCTGGCTTACATAATTTAAAAAATCAGTATTAAAAAGCTGAAACAGTAAATTAATCAAATATTAAAGAAGAATTAATAACATATTTAAAACATTCCGTAACAGCATGAAAAGCCCATTTGGAGGTTCTTCCTTTAAAGGGTCACCATAAACTGGAAGGGACTTTAAACGTACACAACCACAACACACTGCAGGGCTGTTGTGCTCTCCCAGCCCTGAGAGGTCTTCCCTGAGCTACAGGGAGCGCCGAATGAGCTGCCCGCCATCTTGCGCTCCCATTTTCCAGCTGAGGCGCTTCCCTCAAGACACTGGCTTTCTAGAGCTACTCAAGAACCAACTTGGTCAAGTAGAGAAGGAGCCTGTGGAACTATCTGCCACTTTCCTCCTGGCTCCTTCATCTCCCTCCCTCCTGCCTTGCCGCAGACTGAAGTCCGTTTTGCTTTTCAGACGGTTGCTTTTGTTATTTTTTGAAACATAAATGCCATTGCTTCTGTGTTGCTCCGGGATGTTTGCCTGAAAAGTAACGCTGAAAACGGAAACAGAAGGAGTTCTCCGGCCGTGTCTCGCACCTGAAGAGTGGAATAGACTTGAACTGTATTGCTTGCACCTCAGTTTCTCACTCACTACACAGAGAGAAAAACAAGCTGTGAGGATGAGATAATAACACTCCATTTCATGTCCTAAGCCATTCTCTCAGCCCCTGTCTGCTTCAGCTATGGGCAACCCTGGGAGAATCAAAATTATCCGTGTGCAGTTTGCCAGGCAGGTGATTTTTTTCTCAAATGCCTTTAAAAAAAAAAAACAGAAAAAAACACATTCAACAAAATTTCATGCAAACAGTCCGTCCAACCTCAGCTTTGGGGAAGTAGCCTCTTGGCAACCGATGGCCAGGCAGAACTCTTCCTAGCCATTTTGGCACCTGAGGGAAATGCCACCACCTTCCTCCCGCTTCACCTTAAGGCACGAAAAAAGCCTTTGAAAAAGCACGTGAAGCTCCTCGAAGGAAGGGCTGGGAGGTGGCGGCGGTTATTTTCCTGAAATTCACCAGATTCGCTTCTCCTGCATTGGTGGAAGGCTGTGGCCTTGCACCTCCATCGTGGTTCTATCTCACCGATTTCCTGCGTTAGCAAGCTACTGTCTCTGTGTTTATTCCCTGCATCGTGGGGATATGTGCTCAAGTACTGCCACTGAGAGAAAACCCACCACTGCCCATAAATAGATCTTAGAATTGCAGAGCTTGGAAGGGACCCTTGGGATCATCCAGTCCAACCCCTGTCAAAGAGCCACCGTGGAGAATTCGAACTCCCAACCTCTGGCTCCGCAGCCGGAGACCTCCACCAGCAGTTCATATCATTATTAGTCTTCAAAGTGCCCCCTGCATTTTTTTTATGCTGTTTCGCTTTCGACTGGATCCGCCTAAAAGAGACTCTTTAATTCCTTCAGTTTGCCTCGTCCCTTTTCTCCTCACGCTCAACGGCTTGGTTCCAGGCGGTTTCTACACCAAGGTCTGGAAACCACAATTCCTCCATGTTTTTAACCTAGAGAAGATTAAAAACCAGACTTGCGCTAAAAAAAAAACCCAACCCTGTCGGATTTTTGCATTGCCTGACACACAAACCCAACTCATTTAAATGACAAGGAAAAAAGCCATAATTCAGTCCTTTCGGAGCAGCCATTTTGTGAAGGGCAAAGCCTGGCCACCTCCTTAAGAACCTCTTAAGCCCTCATGTCCTGAGGTAATCTTAAAACCTCATCTTCCTTTTCAGCTTCCATTGGAGTTGCTTGTGAGGCCTTTGAAGCCGTTAAGAGGCAGACAGAGCTTTAAAGCTTCACATCCCGAAGAGCAATAATAAACAGAACTGGAAATGTACATTTTGGGCAAAAGAGCCATTTTGCCATAAGAGGTACCTGTATATCTGAATGGCCAGAACTCTAATGCAGACAATGGCGTTCTGAGACCTTTTGTTTTATTAAAGAGCTCATCCTCTAGCCATTATTTATTTGTTTGTTTGTTTGTTTTGTTTTGTTTATTTATTTTGTTTGTTTGTTTATTTATTTATGCATGCCCTGCCCATTTAGACCATGTCTACTCTGGGCGGCTTACAATAAAAATAGCATTTAAGCAATTAAAAATAAATAGATAGATAGATAGATAGATAGATAGATAGATAGATAGATAG